ACGTTCCTCAGGGGGGCTTTGCTTTCCATTTCAGGGCTGCTTTTGGCAAGGAATCCGAAGTTTTGATCGGGAATTTGGGAGACAAGCTGATCCCTCAGCAGGAGATCCTGCGGGACGTCAGCGACCTCAAAGCCTTGGCCAACCTGCACGAGAGCCTGGAGTGGCTGGCAGCACGCACCAAGGCAGCTTTCTCCAGCCTCTCTGCGGCCCAGAGTGAGTAAATCCCATGGGAAACCTCTGCCTGGGGATGGGGACAGCAGAGATGTGGGGTTTGAGTGGGTTTTGTTCCTGTTCCATGAGTAGGTTTGTGTTAGAGAGAAGCAGAAAGTGAAGCAGCTTCGTCTGTTTGTTCCTCTGGGGGCACTGGGAGGGCTCCAGGGGCAGCATTGCTGTCTGGGTTTGGAAAGCCAGGAGTCTGCTGAGGAAGGCAGGAACCTCCCCAGAAATGGAAAATGCAAACCCCCGCCCTCTGAATTATTATAATTTTGAAATTAAGGGGCTCTCAGGCAAAGATATGGGAATAGGAATAAGACACTACTAGGAAAATTAAAATACAAATATAATAATACAAAATAACCACTGACAGAGTCAGAAATTACCTGACAGCCTGTGGGTCAGTATTGGTGGCAATCTGTCCTGGTTTGGAAAGCCAGGTGTCTGCTGAGGNTCCCAGGCTGCTCCAGCCTGGCCTTGGGCACTGCAGGGATCAGGGGCAGCCCCAGCTGCTCTGGCAATGCCAGCCCAGGCAGGAATTGCTCATTGCCAAGATGCCACCCATGGCTGCCCTCTGGCAGTGGGAGCCATTCCCTGGGTGCTGTCCCTGCAGGCCTTGTCCCCAGTCCCTCTGCAGCTCTGCTGGAGCCCCTGCAGGCCCTGAGCTCCTCCAGCTCAGCTAAATCAGGATTGGTTTTGTCACAGTTGAGATGGAGACAACACAAAGCAACACACTCCATTTCCAGAAGGTTTCAAACTGTTTTTATTCCAGCATTGATGCTTTTTATACATTCTTACACAGCTCATCAGTTTGCACTTCACTCATTGGTCACAGGAGACAAACAAGGTGCTCATTGAACAGGCAGTTGCAGTTTCTCTGATTTATCCTTCTGTCTGTCCTGGGGTCTGTGTCAGTGACCTGGGTAGGAAATTTTTTCAAGGGTAAATATGGATCCTCCTGTTAAACATGGATCCTCCTATCAAACATGGATCCTCTTATGAAATATGGGTCCTCCTATCAAACATGGGTCCTTTTCTCAAGCATGGATCCTTTTACCAAACATGGATCCTACTCTCAAACATGGATCATACTATCAAACATGGATCCTCTTATCACACATGGATCCTCTTCTCAAGCATGGATCCTCTTACCAAACATGGATCCTCTTATCAAACATGGATCTTTTATCAAACATGGATCTCTTATCAAACATGGATCCTCCTATCAAACATGGATCCTCCTATCAAACATGGATCCTCTTATCAAACATGGATCTTTTATCAAACATGGATCTCTTATCAAACATGGATCCTCCTATCAAACATGGATCCTCTTATCAAACATGGATCCTCTTCTTATCAAACATGGATCTCTTCTCAAACATGGATCCTCTTACTAAACATGGATCCTATTCTTATCAAACATGGATCCTCCTGTCAAACATGGATCATCTTATCAATCATGGATCCTCTTCTTATCAAACATGGATCTCTTCTCAAACATGGATCCCCTTCTCAAACTTCTCTCTGGCTCACAGAAGTCACTCTAAAACCTCTTCCAGTCTTTCTCTTCCAGAAAATTCATTGGAATTAATTTTTTTACATTTGTGCCGAGTGTCCATGGCTGTCACAGCTCAGGAGCTGCCAGGCCCTCAGGCCCTTTGTGTGGGGAAATCTTTATCTGCTCAGTGTGTCACGTTCACCTTGTGAACATTTCTCTGTGCGGAGAAATCTTTATTTGCTCTACTCATAATACTCAGTGTGTTGTGTTCACCTTCTCTGTGTGGAGAAATCTTTATCTGCTCAGTGTGTCGTGTCCACTTTCTCTCTGTGGGCCTTGCCTGGGTCATCCTTGATGAGCAACAGCAGCATTTTAGTGCATTTCCAGTTCTAACTGGAAAAACCGTTCCATTTCTAACTGGAAAAACAGCCATTGGTGTGAGGAGAGCCCTCCTGTCCTGTGGCTGCCTTCTCCCCAAAGAGAAAATCCCTTCAGGAACACGCCCTGAGCCCATTCAGCCTCTTCACTGCTGTATCCCATGCCCACAGCAGAGATTTTCCCCTCAAATTCCAAGTGGGTGTGGAAGATGTTTTTCCCTTTCCCTCTGCAGATGGGCACAGTCCCAGTCTGGGTGTGCTACAACTTCAATCCAGAACAGGAGAGNGATTATATTTATAAAATTTATATATTTTAAATAATATAGAATATAACACATTAATATTTTATGCATAAAATTATATTTAGGGGGTGATATAATATAATATAATATAATATAATATAATATAATATAATATAATATAATATAATATAATATAATATAATATAATATAATATATATAGTTTGATAAAAATATAATATATAATTTTATTAAAATAGAATATATTTCTAAAATAATTTTTGGAAATTTAAAACATTTTATCATGTATTTATAATTTTATAAAATTATAAATAATGAATTCCCTCAGAAACAGCTCTGAACATCCCGAAAGCACAGGGTGCAGCTGGGCAGCTCTGATTTTTGGGAAACCCTACAGTGGCTTTGGGGTGAGGCTGTCCAAGGCCCCTTCCCAGAGATAAAAATTCCATAATCTTTGGCTGTGGACGTGCCACAATTATCCCTCATTTAAACCCAGCCTTGCTCTGTGAGAGCTTTATCTCTCTGGGCAGTCTCTGCTCTGTTCATTATTTGGTGTTTGCTCAGCTGATGGCTCTTCCATGGCTCTGCCCTTATCTGCTCCCCCTCAGAATTGGATTTTTTATTTCCCAAACCAGTCAGATATGACAAAGTCATTTCCCTCTGCTCTTGTCTTTTGAGGGAATACAAACTCCTTTTTAACAATAACCGTTTAAGGATTAAAGCTGCTGGAGAAGGTGAATTTGCTGAGGGAATTGAGTCACTTTTATAGGGGTTTTATAGGAAAATGGAATTGGGGTTTCCCCTCCTCATCTTCTGTGCTGCAGACAGAACACAACCTCATCCTTTTCCTTTGTGGAGCTTCAGCCTCCTGAGCTTCCCTGAAAATTTTAGAAAAGGAATTATCGTGAGCCACGAAGGTGTTGGGACAATCTTTTTAAAGATTTTGAACATTTTCAAGACCATTTCTTGTTAGTGGGGAGGAGGATGAAAGATGAGCTGTTGGCTTCTGGAGCTGGAGCTGCCCTTTAAATTCTTGGCACCTCGTGACTTCAGATTGCTGTGATCACCAGGGAATGACTGACAGGCTTAAATTTGGAGTTTGGAATTGCTTTGGAATGGGTTGGGTGGGAAGGGACCTTAAATCCCATCCAGTGTCCAAGGACACCTCCACCATCCCAGGCTGCTCCAGCCTGGCCTTGGGCACTGCAGGGATCAGGGGCAGCCCCAGCTGCTCTGGGAATCCCTTCCCAAAATCCCAGCCCAGGCTCCCTCTCCAGGGAATTCCCTCCATTCCCAGCTCTCCCAGCCTGGCATTGGATCCATCCCCACCCCGACTCCTCTCCAGGAAGGNTTCAAACTGCACACCCACAGTCCCAGTTCCATCATTCCATTCTGGAAGCTTCTCCAGGCCTCAGCTCAGTGCAGGGTTCTCTGGGGGTCAGTGCCTGCAGCACAGAAAGTCCAAAATTCTCAGCAAATTTCAAAATTCCAGCAGCTTTGTCTTGCTTTGAGCTCTTCCTCCTGCCCAGCATCCCTGGGATGAAATCCTGTGTGTCTGACACATCCTGAGCATCCCCTGCTGTCTCAGGGGGTGCAAGGGGAAAAGGAAAATCATGGAATGAAAAACCCACAGAGCTCGAGGGGAGCCCGAGACTCAGGGGAATGTGTGAGGATACAGAGAATTGCTGGAATTTCTGCAGTTTGCTTTGGAAATTTGGAGCAGAATCCTGAGGGAAGGTGCCCAGGATTGAGGGCTGAGCTCTCCTGGGAGCTGGGAGTTGAAAATCACCTCAGACTTTTTTTTTTTTTCTGGGAATTCCACGAGGGAAATTTGCTGGTGCTGAACAAATTCATGGTGTTTTATGTCCATTAAATCATTCTTGGCAGCAGAACCTCTCTGGGTGACTGAAATCCTTCCTGTGGCTTCTAATTCTGTTCTAGAGCAGGACTTGGAACTCCTCACTCAGCTTTCCCTCATCAGATCCTTTGAATCCAGAAGGAAAATTAAGATTATACAATTGAAACCCAAATTAATCCAGCTCATCTTTCATCCTCCTCCCTACAAACAAGCAATGGTCTTTAAAATGTTAAATATCTTTAAAAAGATTGTCCCAACTCCTTTATTGTCCCTAATATTCCTGTAACCCAGACTTTGGCTTCTCCATATTTGGGTGACAACATTTGCCCTGTTCTAGCTTTTTTTTTGTTATTAAACACATCACAAAATTAAACAAAATCCAGTGGGAAATGCTATCAAAGTTCAGTAGCCAAATATTTATTTAGTTACATGGGGCTGAGGATTTATGTTCAAACAGCCAGAGCTGTTAAAATAAAACATCATTTATAATTTGAGGTCTGGTTGGAACTCAGATTTTTTAATAAATCAATATTTCCCAGCTATTAAAGGGCACCGGCATGACTTTGAGGCCTCGGAGAGGACGTTCCACACGGTGGTGAATAAACATAAAAGCACAAAGTGTAATATTTCACTAGGCAGCATCTCCTGACAATAAAAATTCATCTTCCTTTGTAATAACTTCATCCTGAAATGTCTGTGCACAAATGCCAGGGTGTCAGGAACCAGGGGAAGAAGGGGCAGGGGTAGGAAATGACAGAGGCTGTTCCAATCTCCTGCTTATAAATGAAATTTTCATCCTTTATTGTTTCTCTTTTCTGCCCCAACAAGTGGAGATTCAGTCCTGCTCCCACTCAGGGCATCACCCAAGTGTTCAGGGAGAGATCAGGACCTGAAATTTTGGTGCAATGCCAGAAATTCCTTAATCCCAACAAGCCCACATGGAGGTGGTGGCCCTGGGGGAAGGCAGCAGATTTTCCAGCAAAGCTTCCTTGGATGCCAACAA